AAAAAAACCTAGTAGGTATAATTAACTTTAATATTAATTTTATTTAACCCAACACACCCCAAATTTTGCCATTTTAACATATAATACAAAGCGGGCTGGGGATTTAGCTCAGTGGTTTTGCCGCCTGCTGCGCAAGCGCAAGGACCCGAGTTCGATCCCCAGTACCAAAAAACCCCAAACAAACATATAATACAAAAATTATTATTTTACCTTCTCTTTTATAGCATGTTTTCAAAATTCAATGTGTGTTTTACACTTCCAGCATGTTACTTTGGATTGGCCCCCATGTCAAATGCCCAATAACCCACCACACTGCAAAGCACAAAATTACCAATTAGGGGATAGGATTTATGGCTCCGTAGCAAAAAGTGCACTTAATATAAGCAAGTCCCTGGGTTTTCCCATAAACAAACAAACAAACAAACAAACATTAAAATAACTGACAGATTTCCATACACAACCGCTGGTTTCAGTTCCAGCTCCTGTCTGGCTTGCCAATGTGGATTGTGAACCTAAATCTGAATTTTATCAGTTTATCGTTACTGGAGACTAAGTAAATCAATATCCTCATTTTTAATGCTACAGTTTCTACACCCTTTGGTTTTTACATATATTTTCACACTTGATCCTCAGTAAGTGGGTAGGCAAATTATAACAATTTTACAAATGAGGAAACAACGTTCACAGAAACTGACGGGACAATTAATGAGTAGTGGGACAGGGAAAAAAGATTGTTTTTACACCTCCTGACTTACAATCAAACCTCTTTCTATAAGTCCTGTAGCACCGCTTCCTCAGTCAAAGTTGCAATTTTGTATTTGTTTATGAGACTGGGATTTATTTCCTCTACTGGACTGTAAATTCCACGAAGACCATAGCATACATAGTGGCGAGCAAGGGGTTTTACAAGTAGGCAATACTTCTTGAATAACGTGTTTCTAATTTTCTCAGTTTTTAGTGCGTTAAAAAGTAGTTGCTAACCCCGGTACCAAAAAAAAAAAAAAAAAGTAATTTGCTTTGGGCCGGGAATTTAGCTCAGTGGTTCTGCCGCCTGCCTCGCAAGCGCAAGGTCCCGAGTTCGATCCCCGGTATAAACAACAACAAAAAAGAAAAAGTAATTCGCTTTGTTTTGTAACTAATTTGAAGACGATCCAAAGTATATCACTAAATTTTTTTTAAGTTGAAGTTTCAAATTTTATTCCGGACACATTTCAAAAGGAGAACGAGAGGAAATGAGTGGCAACCAAGGCCTGAGTTCTAGTGATTGACCCTGTCTGCCATGAACTCTCCATGAGTCCCGGCGTAAATTAATTTCTCGAGGCCACGGCTCTCATCTACCAGAAGGGAAGAGTAGGGTTATCATCGCCGCCGTGCCCAGAAGCTAAGATTTCTAGGCGAGTCGGCTTCCCGGCCCTCATGTTTCCTTCCTTCCTCTCGGCAACGGCCGACTCGGTGACAGAGGTGACCATTACCTCCCAGCTGGGTTCCCTCTTCGCGTGGGGGAGAACCCGACACCCAGCCAAGGACCGGGGCGCACAGCCCAGCGCCGCCATCTTCCCCACTGGCCGGGCCCCAACCGCCACCCGCGGGCACCAAGTAACGCAGACCTCACCTCTCCTCGCAGTCTTTGCATTTCACCTGCAACGGAATTAGCTGCTGGAACAGAACTTGGCTCATGTTGGACCGCTGCCCTGGCAGGTGTGCGGAAAAGCCCACCAGGCCCGGCCCTAGCCTGTGAAGCGTCAGGGTCTGTATAGAGTTTGAGTTTGGCGCTCTGCTTCCGCGGAGGAGGGGGGGATATAGAAACGGAGGAAAGACGAAGAAAGTTTGGACCTCACCGGCCACCATCAGCCTCTTCCTGTTTTGCAAAAGAAGAGAGCGAGGACCTTTGCGCTACTTCCGGAAACTGACCGGCGTGGTCGGACCCAAAGCTGCCATGTTTGTTAAGGGAAAAGGACCTGAAGGAAATTGACAACTTTTGAGCTGGGCGCCAGATGCTTGCCACCAGAAGTGCACCCTGAATTATGGCAGCTTCTGCGCCGACACAATCCGCGACTGGTTTTCCAGCTGAGGGTAGATGCAGTTACTACGTAGAAAAGAAGAAGCGGTTCTGCAGGATGGTGGTGGCTGCAGGAAAAAGGTTCTGTGGTGAACACGCTGGAGCTGCGGAGGTCTGGTATCGCCCTACCCTCCTGAGAGTCGGAAATAAGTTTCCCGGTCCGGTCGGTGCTGGAACCCGGCCCCTTCCCTCTTTGACAGGTTTCTGCTTCTGTCCCCTGGATTCTCCAGCATTTATTTCAATAAAAGTAGTTTTGATCTCCCTGGGGAGCGATGATGAGCCTTAGTGTTTGAGCATTGTTTTCTTTTTCAAAGTAAATATCCAGCTGTGACATATTTATCCTGATCCTAACTTAGGGCAATGCTAGATTTAGTTTCACCTCAACTTACTACTCATGGGAAATGGAAATTTACGAAAAGTACTGATTTAAGTCCCTAGATTTCACTACAGTATTGTGTTCTAATTATTGTTTTGTGAAAGCGGCTTCTCGTGAATGTACTAGAAAGAAACTTTAAAAATGTATTTAGACTTACAATCTCTAGAAAACAACTTAAAACTACTTTGCTGGAATGAGGTAGGAAAGATTTTTAAAATACGTAAGAATTAATCTTTTAAAATAGAAAAGCACGTACAATTTTGTTCTATAATAGTTATATAAATAGCTGTTGTATCAAGCAATACATATTTGTATATTCGCGTGTGTATTGCTAGTTTAGACTATATATGTACATATATATATGTGATAGGAAAATAAAAATAAGAACAAGAGCAGGATGCTGATAGATACAGAGAATGTCTACTAGATTAGAATAAACCAAATAGGCCAGCATCTGGTTTCAGTCTGCTGAAGTCCAGTGTTATTTGCATTATTTTATTTCTTGTTCAAACAGTTTAATCGTTCTAGGTAAAATCCATTGCAGATCAGCCCCTTCATCTACCACTGCCCATCATAGCCATAACCTACTTCATGTTTTGGTTTGACTGGTTATTTACCTAAAATAAAACATACTGAAAACAGGACATAGTTGTTTTGGAGTATGGGAGATGTGATTTACTGTGGGAACTCTTTGAAGTTCAGATAACTACAGTTGTAAATTGGCTGGTTGTAGGGAGTCAGGAAACATCCTTTGGTTAAAGAATGAGATTATTGTTGTAGAAGGATTTTTTCTCCACTATAAATCCAGCAATCTGGAAAATTACTGATGATGAAGATAGTAGCAGACCATGGATAAATTCCTACTGAAGAATAATGATATTTGGCATAGTCCCTTGAAGAAAGACTCCAAAACACCAAATGGAAACACTTTTGTGACTACAATTAGGATTTGAAATGTAACCATTCTCCTGAATCCAAATTTTTTTTTTTGGTACGGGGGATCAAACTCGGGACCTTGAGCTTGTGAGCCAGGCAGTGGAACCACTGAGCTAAATCCCCGGCCTCCCCATTTTTGATGTAATTGTATTGTTGTCTTTCTCACTTTTTAAAAGAACTATCATATATAGCTGTGAGGACACTACTTACACTAATTTTTACCCAGTAAGTCTCAACTGGGGATGATTTTGTCAGACACATAGCAACGTCTGAAGACATTTTCGTTGTGAAAACTGGGAAATGTTACTAGCATCTAATGGATAAAGGGCAGACACTGCTAAACTGCTTACAAATCACATGACAGTTTGCTTCCCCTGAGCCCCCTAAAAAGAATTATCCAACGCAAACTGTTCAAGATTGAGAAACTGTTTCTAAACCCAAATGATAAATTTCAAAAAAGTGTTTTATTTTCCCCCTGTATGGTTAGGCTTTCAAAGTTAGAGGCTTTTTCTGCATGGAAGTTAACCTTTGTTGAAACAAAAGCAGGGGACTCTTGCTGTGTTGCCCAGATGGGTCTCCAATATCCTATTCTTAAGAAATCTGAGATCCCGCCTCAGTCTCTCAAAGGTAGCTAGGGCTATAGGCACACCCCATGGCACCTGGCTAGAAGCTAAATTTTGAAGCCAGCAAATAAGGAAAAATTAATGTACAGCATTTCAAAAAAGTGTAAAGGTTTCTTTGAGGCACATCAGAATTGAAATAAATTGAGAAAAAATTAAGAGTAACACTTAGGTTTTACTCTGGCTAGCACTCTGCTGTTTTGGGTTTTTTTAAAACTCCACTTAATTTTCATAAGCCTTAGGAGGTAACACTATTATTTTTTTTTATGCACTATTATTTTAATCTTTCACGTAAGGCAATAAGCCTTCCTAGGTTCATAGGGCCAGTAGCTGATAGAGCTGAAATCAGACCTAAGCAGTCTGACTGGACTGTGATTTTAACTACTATACTACCTACCCTATTTCATACAGGTTTATATGCAATGTTAGGTAAAATTGCCAACACCATTAGTTTTCCATTCTTTTTTCTAAGAGTATATAGTTAAATCCATGTAACTTAAAAATAAAAGGATATAGTAACTACTATATAAAAAGTTGCAGAGCCAATAGAATATGGCATATGCCAAATTGTTAAATGCTATGTTTTGTTTCTAAGACATTTTCCACATTTCAAGAACAGAGGAAGCATTTATTAATAATACAGTATGTCAATTAAAACGGGTAGCATTTTTTCATAAAGAACAAGTATGTGAAGTAATTCATATGTTAATTAGTTCACTTTTAACCATTCCACAAGATATACCTATTTCAAAATATGTTATGCATGATAAATGATCCAATTTAAAATAAAATTTTATTTTGAGGTACTAGGGACTGAACTCAGGGCCTTTGCACTAAGCTACATCCTCATCATTTTTTATTTTGAGACATGGTCTCACTAAGTCACTTAGTTGCTGAGGCTGTGCTCCTTGCAGTCCTCTTTGCTTCAGCCTCCCAGGATACTAGGATTATAGGTGTATGCATGACGCCCAGCCAGACACAATTTTTGTTGGATTTTTAATTAGTTAATTTGAAATAAAGTAAATGATTAACATTTTTTCTGACTTGGTGCATAAAATAATAGCACATTATTATTATAGATTTAATATTACATATGTAGGCCTTTTCTACAATTTATTTGAACCCACAGACCCTTGCCTGTCCAAAGCAGTATTTGTTTATATATATACATAAGCTAGCTACATAGGAGATTTTTTGTTGTTGTTGTTATTCTATGACCTGATTTTACTAGTTTTTCATTATATCCTTTTAAAGTTTACTTGCCTTGTTTTGGGAATGCAGATATACTAGAGTTACATCTGGTATCTGTAAGTAATGAACTTGATATTTTACTTAAATATTTCCCTTTTGATTTATTAGGAAGAAAATGCTCGGAAAAGAATCCTGTGTCCTTTAGATCCAAAACAGTAAGTATGGATCAGATAAGAGTTTTTTTGTGCTCGAAACAGTAATTGTCATGTCTTATTTAAAATTATCTCTTTAAATTTAGCACAGTATATGAAGATCAACTAGCAAAGCATCTGAAAAAATGTAACTCAAGAGAGAAGCCAAAGCCTGTAAGTGTCTGATCGGTAAAATTGAATGGTGAAATGTGTGGTATACAATATTTATATACACAGTACTTAGTAATTTATAAATGTGAATGATTGTATTTAACAAGGGTTTTGCTTTGAGCCTAGAACTTGGTAAATGCAGTTAAGTGTGTATAATGTACATGATTATAAATCTAGTTATAATCTTAGTTTAGAGAATATCATTTTATGGAACGTTAGTGTTCAGAAAATAATTTCACTGTTTATTAATATTTACTTAATTCCTACTAAATTTATAACAATAAACTATGACCCCAGTCTTCAAGGAGCTTGAGACTGTGAAGTCAACTTGTAAATAAAAGATATTGTTTAGTAATGTCAGATGGAAGAAGTAAGCACAATTTGATGAGAGTATATTATTAAAGGATTTATTTATTCAGTAGGTGTTAAGTGAACACTTATGCCAGTGATGGTGAACCTTTTAGAGCTTTCAGTGACAACAGCCCGCTGCAGCATACATGCCATAGTTTTGCTGCCACTGAGTTATGCCAAACATATGCCATGCACCTTGCCTAGAAGACCACTGCATTCTAGTTAGGGAAATGAAAAATGTAATCTTATGTTCTCTCTGTCTAGGAGCACAGAAGAACCAAGTAATGTAAGGACAGAAAAGAAACCATTGGGTTAACAATATGATACTTATTAAAGATCAAAGTCCTTAGCCAAATTGGTATTAAATAGGGTGGAGTGGGCAGAAATTGGACTAGAATATGTGAATAAATGTCAAATAAGGCTAAAAGCCTCAAGCACAGATGATTCTTTCAAGAAATCTGGCTGTGAGTGGAACTTGAGAGAATGATAGTGAGAAGGGATGCAGGATAGAGGGACTGTGTTTGAAAATGAGAGAAATGCAGCTTTATTTGTATGCTTAGCTATTAGAAAGGAAGAAATTGGAAATAAAGAGGATATCAAGCTGGGAGGTTTCTCAGGAGGCAAACAAAAATAGGGAACAAAGTGAAAGTAGGAGGAAGGATAGCTCTTCCATTGAGATAGATGGGAAGTAGTAAAAAATGATCATCAGTTCAGGCAAATTTGAGCTGGCAAGAGAATTAATTGGAAAACTTTATAATTTGATGGCTGTACTTTTCCCACTGAAAAGAGACAAGGTGATTAAGAGCAATGATGTTATAGTAGGAGATTTCAGGAAGGAAGTAGAAGTTTAGAACTGTGGTTATGAGGAATAATTATTGGGCATCTTTGAGAGTCAGAAATGAGATAATATATATTTTATATATGTTATTATTGCATAATAGAAATAATGAATTTGAACTGCCCCCCCCAATGACTAGGTGACTTTTCTTCAGCAGTATTCAACAGGCCTAACATTAGAGGTAAAAGTCATATTAACTTAGGAGCACACCTATCTAAACCCAGGGAGTATATAGTGCCGTGACAACCTTTGATCACTCAACCAGGGACTAAAAGTTCAATTTTCTGTTCATAATAGGATAGAATAGGAAAGAAGATAACTATGTAAGATGATAAATATGTTAATTTCCTTTACTATAATAACCATTTTATTATCTGTATATATTCTATGACATGTTGTAAGCTTCAAATGTACATGATAAAAAAATTTATTTTTTTGAGACAGGGTTTCACTATGTAATAAAGTGCTCAACACATAATTATTTGGCGATCAAACATCAAACCATTAACATAAAATACACATGTATGCATGTGTATATCTACATATCTACAGGTAGGGGAGCTGTGGAGGGAAGCGCATTCATCTCTTTTTATTGAGAGTATGGGGGAGAACCCATCATATTAGTATAAGTTTAATTTTGCAAAGGTGGGTGTGACAGAAAGATCCCATTGTAAAAGATAATACGTAATGATGAGAGTGGGTATGTAGACTGGATGGCATGAAATGGCAGTTAGAAATTAGAAAAGTGAATAGAAACCTTTAAAGATAGAATAATATGAGGACAAGAGAATCACTGTATATTTTACTAGCAAATTACAAAGTGTTCAGATATTTGGTTAATAGCACTTATGATTTCATGGGTTACATGGTTCACAGCAAATTCAGGGTCCAGTGGCCCATGTAAGTACTTTATTAATGTAGCATGAAGATTTAAAATTTAAAAGGTCCAGAGAACTGCTACATTGGGTGTCCTGAAAACATGATCTTTTTTGTTACATTTTGAATGAAAAGAACAATTTACTGTCAAAGTCGGTCATGAATATTGGATAATGACCAGAAGATGGATAGTAGACTGCTGGGAGATTTAAAAAAAATGTTTTAAGAGCCTAGTGGTTCCCACTGTGACCTTTCCATATTTTGAGAGGTACAGTCCTGGCATGTGCATTCTAAAGATCCCTGTACATTCCAAACTATCCATCCTGGCCTCTGAGCAGGAAATGGCAAGTACATTTGTCAAGAACTGAGGAGGTTTTGGATTTCTAGCTTGCCACAAGTTTGTAGATGCTGCGAGTTTGTTTTCTTTCATGCTGTAGCACATGTTAAACATGTACTTCACTACTAATCTATACTCACAGCTCCACGTTTTATTACCATACTCGCCTCACAGCAAGCAGCAGGTGCTTGTAATTTACATCATTTCCCCTTGTTTCTCAAGGCCTATGGAATTAACACAGAGGGGACTAGAGGGATACTGCATATACAGTGAACTTGTTCATAGCTGAAGAACCTCAAGCTCAGGAAATATAAATGTTTTTTAAAAATTGGGCAGTAAAGAAACTTACCTGACCTGTGTTCCATAAGTAGATATTTTTCTTTGTTACACTGTACAGTAAGTAAGCCTTCTGTGTAATCTAAAAGGAGATACCATTTTTATCTTCCAAGGGTGCTTGGTATACAAATATCCTTGAAAAAATAGCCTGCAACAGACTTAGTCAGTGCTTCTGCTTGTAAGACTTGTGGAAAATAGAGAAACACATAGGAAAATTGTCCACCAATAGTCCATCTTCTCAATCATTTTGACGACAAAATAGCCCCATACTGTACATTGCCAGTTATAACCTCTACATAGGCCAGGTCCTATAAGCTTAAAAGTATTTCAACATTAAAGTGGTATAGAAGAAAATGATGACTACCCTACCACAACCTTAAGCCCTAGCCCCTTTAGTAGAAAGAGAAAATAAGGCTTTATTTGCAAGTATCTCCCTTACCTACATGCCAAATTTCAGTTAAAGCAAGCAAGTGGGTTATGTGTTCTGAGAAGTTTGAAATATAAATTTTTGAAAAATGAAATACCTTTGGGCAGATTCCATTGCATGCCAGGACAGTGTCAAGGTAAGGAAAAATAACAGTGAGATGAAATGGGAGAAGGAAACACACAGCAGTCTTCATGTGGTACACTGTATCACATGAAACTTGAAACCTAAATTAAAAGTCATATCACTCTTCTGCTTGGCCTTTTAAACTCTTCATCAATTTGTAAAAAATTTATATATTTAAGTCAGTTGGTGATAAATTTCTCCAGTGTAAATAATTTTCACATACAAAAATTCAATCCACAGCATAATTTACCTGGAACATTCTTTGTAAGCATTTTAAACTAAAAGTTCCTCAAGTTGTAATAGTCATAGCTAACTTTTCATTATAGTTTTGTTAGGCATCCAACAAAGCATTGTAATATTCCTGCAGTCTTCACCCATTCTACTCAAGCACCTGTTTCCATTGTTAGCATATAGATAATGGTACCAACACACAATCAGGATGTTACCCTTCTGGCAAAAGTCATATTCATAACACATAACACAACTCCAGGAGTTGTTTTCACTTTTAAAACAGGATTCATAAAAAATAGTATTACTTCATTCATCTAGACCTACATTGTCCATGTGGCTTAGCTGGTTAAAGTGCCTGTCTAGTAAATAGTAGATCTATATTGTCCAGTGTGGCAACCAGTAGCCATATATGACTAAATTTGAATTAATTAAAGCTAGGTAAAATTGAAAATCCAGTTTTTCATTTTCACTATCCATATTCAAACCTAGTGGCTACCATTTGGTTAGGGCAGATACAAAATATTTTCATCATTGCAGAAGATTCTATTGAACAAAACTGATCAGATCTTTACCAAGAATTTATATCTGTGCAGATGAACTAAAAAGATCTCACTGTTCATTTAAATAACACAGTGTCACAGGACATTTTTACTTTCATTTAAAAAATTTTTTTAAAACAGAAAAAATCAGACTTAACCATTTTATAGCTGTACTTTATGTGTGTCTGATAAGCAGTATGTACTTTTGTTTTTGCATTAATAAATACCATAAGGCAAAATTGGCTCAGTCCTCAATCTATATTGTAAACAGGTAAAAACTTTAAAAAAATTGCTAGAAGAGCCGGGGATGTAGCTCAGAGATGCCGTGCCAGCCTGGCCAGTGCAAGGTCCTGAGTTTGATCCCCAGTACCTCAAAAAAAAAAAAATACTGCTTAAGGTTTTAGACTATAAAAGCTTATTTAGATACTATCTTACTAGAACATAAGATCCATGAACATGGAGATTTGTCTCTTCTGTTTTCTGCTGTTGTGAATTCCCAGCATCTAAACTAGTGATGGCAAACCTATGGCATGTGTGCCACAGCAGACTGTTTGTATCATTGAAAGCTCTAAAAGGTTTGCCATCACTGATCTGAACCAAAGCAGGCACCATAGTAGGTACTCAGGATTATTTAATAACTAAATGAATGGGTGGAAGGGAGAATGGAAGCTATAGAATGTGGGATAAAGGGAAGAATCAGTTTTAGCTTAATTTTTGTGAGCTTCATATTAATAATGTTATGGTTTTATTTTGTGTTTGTCAAGGATTTCTTTATTCAGGATATTAATGCAGGCTTAAAAGATGAAACAGAAATACCTGAACAACTAGTAAGTACTCTGACTTAATATTTAAAAGGTATTTGGAAACTATCTCCTTGTTGTGAATAAGCTATATTCCAATTTTTGGAAAAAAAATTGTTGCTTTGGATTTAAAATGCATTTCCTATAGAATCAGCATTATCAATGATGAGCCAGACCAGCTCATGCCCCATATCAAGATATAATATGGCTCTGAGTCCCTTCTTATTCTTAAACCCTTCTCAGTCTAGACTTCTTGATACTAAGGACGTTAGGGGATTAAAGTAGCATGGCAGAGATTGAGTAGACATTAGCAGTTGGGCCATCCTAATAGCAGCTTAGGGAAGAGATTATATCAGAAAGAAAAGCCTAAGCTGCCATTGGGATTTGCCCAACTGTTAAGCCTCTATCCAGTTTCTGCCATACTACTTTAAAGCAATTTTTTGGCTACATTATTTAGTTTTATTTTTGTATATAGGTTCCAATTTCTTCTCTATCTGAAGAGCAGTTGGAAAACTTAATTAAGAAATTGAGAAAAGCAAGTAAAGGTAAGTCTAACTAGCCTAAACATGCTAGTTAAATTATTTTAGAGTAATTAGGTGGTATATGAGTTGATGCCATACTGGTTTACAAGATGTCACTGTCATTGTTCAAGGTCCTATAGTTTCATATTTGGTTGCTTACGCTGTCGTGTTTATACTTGGTACAGATTTGAATTCTACACTTGAAGATCACATTATGTCCCATCCAGCATTACATGATGCCCTTAATGACCCTAAAAATGGTGATTCTGCAGTCAAGCACCTAAAGCAGCAGGTATGTTTAGGCCCCAATAACTACCCTGTACATTCATTTAAAACTAACTTTCTGGGGCTGGGGATTTAGCTCAGTGGTTCCGCCGCCTGGCTTGCAAGCACAAGGACCCAAGTTCGATCCCTGGTACCAAAAAAAAAACTAACTTTCTGTTCTTTCTCAACATAGTTATTACTAAGATTTTATTTAGTTTATTTTTCAGGGTTCAAAAATATTTCCATTTCAAAAATATGTATAAAATATTAAAAATATTTGATATGGATATGTTTCTGGGTAGAGTATTAAGTATTTACAAGTAAGACCCAAAACATTTAAAGTCAAACAAATTATCAATATGACCATACAGACTTATATAGAAATTACCTTGCTGTTTTCCCATATAAGCTAAATGTGTTTGCTTTAGTTTATAAAATAATCTTGTGAAGTTTGTAGGCTTCTCTTTTAGGTAACATTGAAAAATTAAAATTACTTGGCCCAAGAAGATGCTTTGTTGAGTTTGGAGCAGGAAAGGGAAAATTATCTCACTGGGTTGATATTGCTTTAAAAGATGCTGAAAAAGTTCACTTCATCCTAGTAGAAAAAGTGACCACAAGATTCAAGGTAAGTGAAGCAATTGCAGTATATTAGTAACCAAATTTTGTTTACATTTTTCTTATTTAGGAAAAAAATGATAGAAATGTGTCTTCTAAAATGATTTTTCTTTTTTGTGCATTTGATTATAGCTTTTTATCAGTACTAAGTATATTGAAAACTTTTAAACTGAAGGTAAATTTTTAAATCTAAATTTTAATAGTCTATGATCTGAGTTCTTAGAATTATTTGCAAAGACAGGAGAATACAGAAAGAGCTAATCGTAAGCTGGACTTAGAAGCATTGGGTGCCAGCTGTTAGCACATACCTGTAATCCATGCACACTGGAAAGCTGAGGCAGGATGAGCACTAAGTTCAAGCCCAGCCTGGACAACCTAGCAATTTAGTTCGACCTTGTCTCTGAGTAAGTAAGTAAATAAAGGGCTGGGGATGTAGGTTAGTGTGATGTCTTGGGGTTTTACTTCCACCACTTACTGTTCACTCAAACACCTACTGAGTATACTCTCGGGCACCATAATAGACATTGGGTATAGAAAGTTAAAAAAAGAGAAGCCCATTGCAGAGACAGGAAAAGGAGAGATTACTTATGTTTAGAAAGGAGAGATCAGCAAATAAATAAACAATTGCAGTGTGTTTAGATATGAGGGGTGTGGTTTGTACAAAGTAGTGCAAGCTTCAAAGGAAGGAGTGACAGATGGTATGTCAGGGAAAAGAATGACTACACAGAAAAAGTAATTTTGAACTAAATCTTGAAAAGTGAAATAGTGTTCCCTAGATGAGTGTTTGAGAAGGGTTCTAGGAAGCAAAAGCAGTATAACCAAATGCCTGAAGCAACAAGGAAACAGAAACATTTCTGTGTGTTGAGAGTGTGTGATGTGAAGTAGAGTGCAACAATGATGAGACTGGAGAGGAGAGGCAGCCAAGGAAAACTTTCATATTTAATGCTCAGTAAGAAGTATAACTTTGTCCTCTGTGTGCTGGGACTCAGTGGAAAAGATTTGGTACTTTGGGTTTTTTCTCTTTTTTTGAGACAATGTCTCACTGTGTAGTTCAGGCTGGCTTTGAACTCACTATGTAGTCCAGGCTGGCCTCAAACTCAAGGCAATCCTCTTGCCTCAGCCTCCCAAGTGCTGGGATTATGGGCATGTGCCACCATGCCTGGCTAAGAATTGGTTCTGGCCTTCAAGAAACTTACAGCTAGTTGGGCAGTACAGAAGTATTGGGTTCTGTATGCTAAGTATGTTATAATAATGGTGAATACCTGATGCTATGGGACAATGAAGATAGAGAACCAACCTTAGTCTAGTATGTGTGTCATAGAAGATTTCAAGGGGGAAGTGACAGTTAAGAGGAGTTCAAAAGAATAGATAAATATTAGTGAAGTAAAAAAGTGTTTTTAAAAATTTTCTTAGAAGTACAATTAAAACTATATCAGAAGAATCTGAGACTTGAAGTGAGATTATTATTAAAGATAATATTATGCAATGAATAATCAGAGTAAGAAATGGGCCAGAGAGCCAAGGCCATTGTAATGGGATGCAGAGGGGAAGAGCATGAGAAATGTTAAGATGTTGGAAGCCACGGGACTTGATGATTTATTATTCATTGAATTTGAGAAACATATAATTTTGAATAAGGTTTTTTATGGCGAAAGTGACTAAATGGTACTCTTCCTGAGATAGGAAATATAAAAGGAGGACTAGAAAAATGGGTTTGGAGGATGAAATAAAGAGTTTGGTTCTGGATGTGTTCAGTTTGCTGTTGAAGTATAGAGCCTTCTAGTTCACAATGAGATGTGTCTGATGCTCCTCAGAGAGAGTTGGGCCACAAATGTAGATTAAGTCTCAGGCATGTGGGTATAGATGAAAATGGTTGTGATCTTTCAGAGAGAGGGAGAGTGAGCTGAAAATAAAATACCAGAAGTGACAAAGATAAAGGAGCTGGCAAATAATCAGAGATAAGTCACCGAACATCTGTGAACCTTAATTTCATTGTTAGTCATACATTGTTAAGGTTAAAAGAAATAACCTGTACATGATAATTGATTAAAAAAAATTTAAACCTGGGACGGGGATTTAGCTCAGTTGTTCCAGTGCCTGCCTAGAAAGCTCAAGGTCCCGAGTTCAATCCCTGGTACAAAAAAAAAAAATGTGTTTTTACAGGGCTGGGGATTTAGCTCAGTCACACCACTGCCTGCCCTATAAGCGCAAGGACCCGAGTTCAATCCCCAATACCAAAAAAAAAAAAAAAAAAATTCCATGATATTGTTTTGGAGTTTTCATCAAAAAGTATGCCTTTTGGGGGAGGAGCTACTAAGCTACACAACCAGCGCTATTTAAAATTTTTTATTTTGAGACAGGATCTCACTATGTCACAAAATTGCCCAGGTTAGGCTCAAACTTACAGTTCTCCTGCCTCAGCCTCCCAGAGTGCTGGGATTACAGGCATGTGCCACTATGTCTAGCTTAGATTGTGCAGTCTTAAATTTTGTTATTCTATTTTTAAATAGTAAAAAATAAGATGGAAAATCATTTACTCTGCTTTTTTAAAACAAATAGAAATATTTTCATTAAGCTTTTGTGTAACATGAAAAACCACTGTTAATAATATTGTTTATGCAGGTAGATGGTAAACACAGAAAGAAAAATTCAGTGTTTGAAAGACTTCAAATTGATATTCAACACTTATGTTTGAGTAAGTTGCATAACTTTCTTTTGCTTTACCATAAATCACAGATGTTTCAAACTCTGATGGTTGCTTGGAAATCCAATCGTGCAGAAAATCCAATCCTGCAGAGCAGGTGCTTCATGAAGAACAAATTAATCCATTGCTATTAATATAGAATATTATATGTAACAAATTAATGTAAACTGAATTATGATTGAAAGTATTTTTCAGTATCAACTGGAAATGAATTGTTATATTTAGGTAGAGTTTAGACATTTTGATAATATGTCCTAAATTGCTTCTTTGTCCTTTTAAATTAATTTTGTGTCTATTCATATCATGAACTGTCCTTCTTCCTATAGACATGACTTTACCAAAATCATTAAAAATGGGATATAGTTGTCTGCCTTGCTAATGTATAAAAGATACTTCCTAGAATTTTATACCATGCCAAAGAAAATAAGTCATCACTGGGAAATTCACATTTCATATACACACACCCCTCATTCTCCTTAGTGTCCTTTCTCTACCTTTTCTGTAGTTTATTATTTAAAAAATAATAATGCAAATGTATCTGAGCAACATCTTTCATCTACTAATTTTAACCCAGCTTTGAGAAATAACCTGGCATTTATATATAAATCACTGGGTTTAAAATTAAGATTCTAATTAATTTTTTCTCTTAGAAGGTCACATTAACTCTTTTATCTCACAAAAGTGCTAACTTAATTCTTACTTCCTTTTATTTCAGACAAGATTCCTGTTCTAAGAGAAGGAAGACTGCCTGTGGTAGGAATTGGAAAACATCTCTGTGGTGTGGCAACAGGTATGTAAACACACTAATAATGTTTAAATGGACATATCACATTAGAGCTTAAATGGCCCTAGCTGCTTTAGTGGTCTCCTTTGAGGAGTTCAGATTTCTTATGTTTATAGCTCATCAGTCTTCATAGTAGCACTGGCCCTGTGTTATATCAAATACAGGACAGTAACCTGTCCCACTAGAAGATCATTGTGTTTCAAGATTCTGGGACTCAGTGGTGCTGCGCCTGTCTGGCAAGCATAAGGTCCTGATTCTGGGAAAAAACAAATTTTACGCCAGGAAAAATCTTGTCTTAGAACTTTATCAGACCTAGCATGGTAAAGTGGAAACATCATGCACTTAGGAATCAATCTTTCAGCTCTTCTGTGTAATTTTAACCTTTCTGAGCTTTGGTTGCCTCATCCATCACAAACGATGATAATATAATTTACAAGGTTATATGTGAAGTGCTCACTAAATGTTAGCTGTTGTTACATCTTATTCCTGGCTTCTGGTTTCATCATCCACACAAATTGGAACCCAAATCCCTTACAAGACATTGTTCAATTGTCTGAAAAAGACTTTGAGTACTATATAATTGAGTGGTCCTTCATAGGTTTTAGAATACTTCACACACCTTATTTACCCTTCATAAAAGCCTTCTGAAGTAAACAATTCCATCCTTGGGGTTGGGGGAGGCACACACCTTTGACTCTTCTCATGTAATCCAGGTTTCTCATAAGTATAACCTACAATGGCCATTTCCATACACTTTTCCCCTTCTAATCTGAATTCCCCTTTCATCTCTACTGCTGCTGCTCTTCCTTTTTGACATTGTTTCCTTCTCGTCTGTGACACTTCTTTCCCAGTTCTTCCCTTTCTTCTGAGCCATTCTTTCTGATAATTTCTTAGTCACCTTCCCCTATCTGTCCTTCGGTATTAATATTCAGACCCAACTGCTATACACTGAATGTGTCTTTTCCCTTCTTTAAACTCTTTGGTAGGTCTTTGCCAGCTTTACTGTTCAGCAACATCAAACCCTATGTACTGTGCCATATACCATACTATACCCACTATTCTTAGAATTCCATTGTCATCCAAACAAAAAACTGGTCAGTTTCTATTCAACTTTTAGTGCTCAGCTATCACCACTTTCAGGGTGCTTCCTTAAATAAGATGAGCTTCCTTAGTATAATGGGAATACCCTCTATACAACTTTAATTTACTGTCTTTTAATTGTTTAGTTACAATGCTTGGTCTATAACAAGAACTCAATGAATATTCAAATGAATGAATGAATGAATGATCTTAGCTACCAATTTGTTGTTTCATTTTCCCCTTCTAAGTGTGTAGGTTTATCCCTTAAGGTCATTGTAGAAGCTAGGTGTGGTGGCGTACTCCTGTAATACCAGCACTTGGAGGCTGAGTCAGGAGGGAAGTTCAAGGCCAGCCTGAATTACAGAGTGAGATCCTTTCTCAAAAACAAACAGACAAACAAAAAACAATTAAGAAAAGGAATTAAGAGGGAGAAAGGAAGGAAGGAACAAGAAAAAAAGTGAAAATAGAAGGAAAAAATGGAAACAAACCTTTTGTCCATGGGAGGATGGGATACAATAAAATAAAATTTATTTTAAAAAGTTAAGATAGATTGTTAAAGCTCCTTTTTATTCTGAAATAACTTATTCCTTTTAACATTTTTTCTGGTTATTCTTATTTCTGAAAATCATTTACTTAAGTTAAATATGAATAAAATGGTGCCTGAATACATTTTTTAGAAAATAATAGATTATGAAGCTCAGTGCAGTGTTATACTTGTAGTCCTAGCTACTCTGGAGGCTCAGGCAGGAGGATTGTAAATTCAAGGCCAGCCTGTACAACTTAGTGAGACATCCATTTTAAAATTAAAAAAAAAAAAGGAAAGAAAAGAAGAAAATAAAAGTTTATGAAATACTAGATTAGCTGTCACTTGCTCCAGATAATAAGTTTGAAATAATATTTGATGACTTAAATTCATATATTGAATTAAATTTACTTGTGAAATATCAGATCATTTAATATTCACTTGTGACATTTTAGGAAAATAAAATTCAAGAATATACATTCATTTTTGATTGATTATACACAATATGTATAATCAGAGAAAATGTGGAGTTTTGTGGTGTATATTTGTCGTCTTTCAGATACAGTCAACAATGTAACAGTTTTCATCATCAAAAATCCATTTAAAAATTTTTAAAATGTATTAATTTTTTTCATTTGAATATGGACTAAAAACACTAAATTTGTATGTGTTAATCATTATATCCTCAAAGCTTTGCACACAAAAGATATTCATTAAATACTTGCTGAGTGCAGACATAAGTATAGAAAGATGACTCAACAAAGCCTCCTTTCCACATTCTGATCGCCTGTTTTGCAACTTCAGTTCATCAGAATTTGCAGTGACTATCTTACATTTCAAGACTAGTTTCTTGACAAAATTGTTTTCCTTAATTTATTTCTTTGGATTTCTTAACTTTAAAACTCCCATGAAATATAAGTATAGGTAGATAAATGTTTTCTGGTTTGGGTTTTTTTCTCCCTGTACTAGGTAGGGACTGAACCCAGGGCTCTCACACTGAGTTAGATACCTAGCCCTTTTTATTTTTTATTTTTAGACAGTGTCTCATGAAGTCCCTAAGTTGCCTAGGCTGGACTTGAACTTGTGATCCTCCTGTCACAGCCTCCCAGAATGCTGAGATTACAGGCATGTGCCACCACACCTGGTCAAGTATTTTCTATAGAAGTCATTTCCTCAGCCAGGGTAGAAGAAATGAGAGCCAATCCAAGTAGTTGAACATAAATGTTTCAGATTGTAGAGAGCTTCAGATAGTTTTATTGGGAAGTAGGCTTTATGCAAAATAAATCACTAGAGAAATTAAGACAGAAATGAGCAAATTTGCACAGAGTTGATTTGTGATATAAGTATAAAGCTAAGTAGGTCTTTTATTATTTTTGTTGTTGGATTTTTAAAAACCATACTGTTTTAAAAAATGTAAAAAAAAATACTTATTTTTAAAGATGATGTGGTTTGGGGGGCCACATAATTGTGTTTGCAGATCTTGCATTACGATGTTTGGTTGAAACCTATGCTGCCAGTTATGAGGAAAGGAATGAAGAACCTTTAGCCAAACGCATAAAGAATGATAAAACAGAAAAAGAAATTAACACTTTGACCAAGGAAGGAAGTGAAAAAAATGTCGCAGAGAAGTGGACTCCTGTGGCTGGCATTGTTATTGCACTCTGTTGTCACCACAGGTGTGATTGGAGACATTATGTGGGCAAAGAATATTTCAGGGCGCTAGGCCTTGGAGCAGTGGAATTCCACTATTTCCAGAGAATGAGTAGTTGGGCGACTTGTGGGATGCAGAAAACATCGTTGGAAACTTCAGATATTACTACAAAGAGAAAAGATGATCAGAATGATGATAACGAAGAGCATGACAGTGGAGAATGCAGAATCACAGATGAGAGCACTGACAGCTTACCTGGGTAAGTGACTACTTTAAAAATGCACAACACTAAAGGAGAAATATTTTGTTATTGCTATACAGTACATTTCTCCCCCTCCCTATCAATGGGGAATACCCTCCAAGACTTGTAGTGGGTGCCTGAAGCTGGATAGTACCAAACCCTGTGTACAAGCACTGCAGTACCTCCAGACTCAATCTGATAACTGAGACACTGAGTGACTAACGGGCTAATGTGTACAGCATGGCTATGCTAGACAAAGAGAAGGTTAAAGTCCCATGTGGGAAGAAGTGGGCTGGCACAAGATTTCATCATGCTACTCATAACAACACTAATTTAAAATGTCTACATTGTTTATTTGGTTAACTTTCTATGTAATATTTTCAGAACACAATTAAGCTCAGTCAACTAAAAACCACAAAAAGTAGAACTATTAATAAGAGGGGGCTACTTTCCTTTTCAATGACTATTATAAAAATTTATTCATAAATATATATTTTCCAATCTAATTTTAGAGTAAGTTAGAATACATTTTTATTTTGATCATAAAATACATCTTGGAAGCGTGGGACATAGCATATTTAACAGCTTCTTAATAAAAGTGACAATTTTTATAAGCCCTTATAACAATTTAATAAATTTTTGTATGTTTATTCAACTTAGGCTTCTTACTGTTGAAGAAAAGAAGAAAATAGGACATCTTTGTAAATTGCTGATTGACCAAGGCCGTATCCAGTATTTAGAGCAGAAGGGATTTAATCCTGCTTTACAATACTATACAGACCCTTTGGTGTCTTTGGAAAATGTATTGTTAACTGCTTTACCTATTCATTCTTCATCACCAGAAACAACTGCCTAATAGAAAAGAAATTTGAATATCATCTGTCTTCCACCAAAAAAAAACCTTTTAAAATTATATTTTTATATCTACAAAAATGTAATTTGAATAGTAGATAATATTATCTTTAAAAATACTGTGGCCTCATTCATCTGTGGCAGTAGCTTTGCTTTTTACTTGAGAAATTCAGAGAGTATTCACCAAATTCTGAAAGTAATCCTCTTCAGCAGGGCATTTGGAATTATATTATTCATCAGTATTTATAGCAGTCGGTAAAGTAGTTGAGCACTTGACTTGGTCATCTGAAACACACATAACACATCAACTTGTAATTAACAATGATTTTCTATTTACATTAAGTGGGAAATTTGTTTCCTTTGGTTTTATTTAATATTTTTTTATGTCTCAGGTTCAAGATGTAATAATCAGTTGTCAGTTTATAACAAGGGCCAATCTTAGAATTTAGCATATGTGTGAATTTCTTTTTTCTATACAGATCTGGAGCCAGGAATGGTGGCACAAGCCTGTAATCCCAGCACTTGGGAGGCTGGCTCAGGCAGGTGGATCATGAGTTCAAGGCCAGACCAGGCTACATAGTGAGACCCTGTCTCACAAAACCGCAAACAAACAAGTAGAAACCCACAGATCTGGAAAGGATGTTCACAATCAGTAATGAAATCACCTTCTGGCTTCCAGAGCCATACATGTAATTATTTATTACCAGAATTAGTCCATGACAAACACCAAAACTGAGGAGATGTTTTCAAGAAAAAAAATCATTTTTTGTTGAATTATCATAGGACTTTAAAAAGATATTTATAAACATAAATCACAAAATATACTTGAAATTTGCAAGTAGCTTCTAATTTATACATACACATATATGTATAATTTATCAGGCTATTTCCTACATATGTAAATATGAACAGTGAAGTATGTTCTCTCCCATTTGGGAAAATAACTTGGAATAAGGTGGAAATTTAAATAATAAAACCAAAAATCTTGTCACATTTAGGCCTTATTTAACTGATAAAAGCTTTCTATGCACAAGCAAATATTAAACCAAACATATGATAGGACTGTTATTCTCGTCCATGTCTTATCCTTGGTTTGTTTCTGCATTTATTTGTAAAAACTGTCTCTTTTTTTTTGGTACCGGGGATCGAACCGGGTTCTTGTCCTTGCAAGGCAGGCAGTGGAATCACTGAGCTAAATCCCCAACCCTGTAAAAACTGTCTTAATTATCAAAACATATGCAAAGGCAAAGAAGCAGAATTACTAATTTCAAATATTATAATGATATTCTAAGGTAACTTTTTGTCCTGTAGGTCTATAATTATATGAATTGTAAACGAGAAGCCTACCCATTTTTAATTCCTGACCTTTCTACTTTAATTTAATCTCAGGTGTTTTGTCAGTCTGCCTAGGTTCAAATCCTAACCCCACCACCTTTCAGTGGGTGACCATGGTCAAACTACTTATCTCTTTGTGCCTCAACTTTCTCCTCTTAAAATGGGGATGATAATGATGATGATAATAAAACCTACCTCACAAGGTTGTTTTGTGCATCAAATGAGATGACACAAGTAAAATGCTTAGAACCATTCCAAGCACAAAGTAAATAATAAATATTAACTAAAAGTAGTAATTCATGAATCTATTTTTAATAACAATAGGCAGGCTTTTGCTTTATTATCTTTTTTTTTGGTACCGGGGATCAAACTTGGGACCTTGGGTGCCAGAACCACTGAGCTAAATCCCTGGCCTTATTATCTCTTTAACTTTTTCCTCTTGTTATAAGTCTATGTCAAATATTATTAAAGTAAGGTAATTTGCTTATTTTTAAGTTACCCATGCTCCCTAATCTAAAGAACATAAATGAAGATAATTCATCATTCAATAATTAACCTGATTTTATTGTCAGAAATGCTCATGTGTCAAAATGTATTTTGTATCATTCAACAATTTATGCCCAGAAATAAAAGATATTCTACAAAAGGTATAATCTCAGTTATGTTTCATGATGCATTTATATACATGCAAGAATTATATTGATTCGGTCTTCTGGATCATTTAGTTTACTGATGTGTTTCTGATATGGTACTGAGTACTTTATGGGAAAGTAAACTTAACCTAGACCATTCTAGCCTTAGGTTGATTTTTCTCACATGTCATGAGAAAGTGACCAAGTTGGGCATACAGGTCCAGCAAACCCCCTTCTTGAATGTCAGACCACTTATACCAGCAATGGTGACACTTTAGTTTTCGATGATAACAAACAGCCCACTACACCACAGGTGCCATAGGTTCATCATCGCTGATTCCTACAGTGACCATGTCCTGCCTGTCCCACAGGTGCATCAAATTTACTGTTAAAACGAGCTCATCTGCTTCTTCCACCTGATTGTGCCCACCAAACCACCAGCCATTCAGTTGTCCTTTGCATCCCTGAACTACTCCCTCTTCTCATCTTCATTCAGTTAACAATTCTACCTATTTGTCTCTTACATATTTATCCTGTTTCCAAAACTAGGCCCCAGACTATTAGGACACTTTTTCCTTGTATTCTCCCAATCTGTCCTCTATGCTTCTGTGACCCTGCTACGGTAGAATTAATCATTACTTCCTAAACTGGATGTTGGCATATACTGATTTCAATCACTTATTCTCATAATTTAGATTTTTACATCTGCCACTGGATATTGGCAAATTGATTTTCTAGTGGAAAAACTGTTTGACTATACTTTTTTAAAAAGTATTTGTTGCTTTGAACTAAAGTCTTACCTTGTCAGTCAAAAACTTCACAATTTAGCAAATTATAGCCATGATTTCTATTATACTATTGTTCCCATTGCTTTTATGAAAAGAATTGTGCTCTTTGCCCTATTCTCATAATCATGATTTAATTTAGACACTTTCTTAAATAAAATTTTAAAAACCAATTTAGCTGGGTATGGTAATGCAGACCTATAAACTCAGCTGCTTGGGAGGCTGAGGTAGGAGGAGCACAAGTCCAAACTCAGCTTGACCTGACCAATTTAATGAGACCTTGTTGTGAAATATATAAAGAGCTGGAGATGTAACTCAGTGCAAAGGCCCTGGGTTCAATTCTTAGTACTGAAAAAAGTCTAAATTAGACTAATTTGTTGAGATCTATATATCAAAACTTCATGTTCTGGGAGATACAGTTCAGTAGTAGAGTGCCTAGCATGTCTGAGGCTCTGCTTTGATCCCCAGCACTGCAAAACTAAATAACAAAAAAACCTTTCTCTTAACATCTTTCATTCCTAAGTAAAATCATTTTTTTGATGATGACAGAAAGAGGGAATGGCAGAAATCTGTTCATGCTCAAACTGACATGTATAACAAGCTGGTAGATTGAGGTAATGAAGCTGTTAAGAATTGTGTCTTTGAGCCAGGCATGCATCAAAGTTTCAGTACTCAAGAGGCTGAGGCAGGAGTATTACCATGAGTTCAAGGCCAGCCTGGGCTATATAGTGAGACCATGTCTCAAAAAACAAATAAAACCAAAACAAAGTAAAAAGAGTTAAGTCTTCATTCCCTTGTTTGAGTTTCAAGTGCTTGGCCAAGGAATTTATTTCCTGATTCCACTTAAAAGATTTTTAATATCTTTACAACCTCTCTCTTCCAGACCTTATCCGAATTATGAACGGAGTTGAATTTCACTTTTTTCTCCCACAATATTGTCCAAAAAACCAGAATTTTGTAGAAAAGGCAAGATAGAAATCAATAAAGGATTTAATAAGATAGAAGTCAACTATATATACACTCCTGTATTCCCCCAAAAGAGAAAAGATTTAATATCTCTGTTATATACAAATCTTATACCTGCTCTTTTGCGGGACTCCTGTATATATGTGTACATAAACTGAAGGCCAAATAATTCCTGTTCCTCGTCTTCATCTGTGCTTTCACTGAGAGGAAGTGCTACTTCGAATTTCAGTGGGTTGTCTCTGAAGTTGACAAACCTAGCAGTATACACACAGACACACACACACACAATAAAATAAAAATATTTTTATAGATGCCATAGAGGTGTACATTTCCCTGGATAAAGGTTAAATGATAATATGCTAAATTGCTGTTTTTTAACTGGTGAGATACGATATATCCAATGAATTTTTGTTTCTTTCCTAGAAGAAAAAAATATTAGCTGGAGACAATTTACTTTCAAAGATTATAAATATAGCAACTATTAGTTCATAGCATACATTTGATAGTTTAACTTATAAGAACAATTTTAATGCATCTTAACTATATGATTAATGCTGTGAAGGAAGTTGCTGCCAACTTTACAGACCTGTGTCTTATTTATCATTGTGTCTTCACCATTTAATACAGGACTAATAGTTGCTGAGTAAAGGAAGGGTGAGAAGCGATGCTGAGTAAATGAGTGATTTTGTTGGGGAAGTTTTGGTTGTCTGTTCTCTTATTCTCACTGTCAGCAAATTAGATCTTGGAAAGAAAACACACAATGGAGTTCTGATAGTAATTAGTAAAAGATTGTACTATGAGTTACATAATAGCCTGTGTCCATTAGTAGTTACTTGGGAGAAAAATAGTTGTTTTTATCCTTTTGGTTTTTTGTGGGGGTTTTTGCTAATAAGGTATATTAGAAGTATAAAGAGAATTTTCATGAAAATCTTACCAACATAAGACATTTCTCAAAGCTGATAAATCTCAGTGTTGTCTTAGTTTCAAGGATTCTTTCTTAAATATTTGAGAAAAGATTATATGAATACTAATCAAATTATACAATTTTTACTGGGCATGGTGGTGCCTGCTTGTAATACCAGGATTCTGGCAGGCTGACATAGGAAGACTGAAAGTTCAAGCCCAGACTTGTTGATTTAGCAAGACCTTGTCACAAAGTAAAAAATTAATGACAAGGCTGGGGATATAACTTTTGGTTCAATCCCCAGTACTGCAAAAGAAAAAGAAAGTGTATTTGTCTGTGTATGTGTGTGGAATTTCTGCATTGAAAATGTTTTTAAAGTATGTACATTCATAAAAATACACATTCATGGAAATAAGAACTCAAATTTATTTATTAATAAAAATTTTTCCATATTACTTTGTTCTTTGGCCTGAAATGAACAGGTCAGTTTTGTATGTACAGCTTTTTACCTCAGATTTGCCATTCCCTCCATGCATACTGGAATATCTTGCAGTTTATTGTTGCTGAGAACAAGAGTACCCAGATTTTTCATATTGCTGATTGTTTCTGGCAAGCATGTTATTTCATTCCGTTGTAGCCATAATGTATGTAGACTCTGCATTCTGGAGATTTAAGAGTTTCATGCAATTAGTCAAATATAATATGAAAAGCTGAATTCTTATTACCTTAAAAATCAAATGTATCTCATTTAGCCAATATACTAATTGAATTAACTGAGTATATTAACTGGTTACTAGGGAAACTATATCAGGGAGTTAATTGCTATAATATAGTACTCATATCCTCTGGTGGTAGAAATGAAATCAACATTTTAAAATTCTTCACTTTTCTCACAGTTTTCTTAAAGAGTAATAAATGTTATCTCATCTGAACCTTGCAAGAATAATCCAGAATTATTACTATGCCAACTGGGTGTGGTGACAGATGTCTATAATCCCAACACCCTGGGAGGTTGAGGCAGGAGGATCACAAGTTCAAATCCAGCGTGGGTAATTTAGCAACTCATTTTTAAGAAGGGATAGGGATGTAGCCTTGGGTTCGATCCATAGTACAGAGAGGGATGGGGGTGGGAGCGTGTCCAGAGAAATCATTACAATGGCCATTAAGGGGCAAGGCAGTACACACACCGGTTAACAGCATGGACTCAGGCAGGGATGCCTGCGTTCAAATCCTAAGTAGTTAAATGCCTACTAATTGACCTTGGGGAATCCTTTCTCAAGTGTACAGAAGTGGCTGGCAGGCATTAAGCAATGTTGTTATTGTTGTGGCATATTCATGTTAATGTCTTGAAGTCAGCCAGTTTTCCCATTCTCTACACCTTTTTTTACTTATTTGGAATCAATGAAAATATTCTGTTGAAACATAGCATATTTCAAACTATATGGGATCTACTGTAGTTGATTATGCTCAGGATCCTTTTTGTTTTGTTCAATTCATTGTTTCTTATTTTTCACAGGTGGTTTTAAGCTATTTGTCAGTAGCATAAAAAGCTATTTGTTTTACCTTTCTATAGTACCAGGAAGTTGTTCAAGTCTGTTGCTTCCCATGTCCAGCCACTCAAGGGCAGGCATGTTCAACACAGCAAGAGGGATTGTAGTAAAGTGGTTCATACTCAAATCAAGGTGAGTGAGTTTTAAGAGATTGCTGAGCTGAAGAGGAAAGCAAGGCTTTTCAAAATAAATTTCTACAATGTAAACTACTAGAAGAAACACATCGATGAAGGAATTATTTCATATTAAACAATGTTCATGTTACACTTGGGCTTTAAGCATAGTAGTGCACAACAAATTAAATATAAAAATAAATTGCTTCCAATGAGATGAAAAACTGTTAGAAATTGTATCTGTTTGGGACTAGAGATGTTGATCATAAAGAGCACGTGCTTAGCATAGGTGAGGCCCTGGGTTCAATCCCTAGTGCGCGCGCGCGCGCACACACACACACACACACACACACACACACAGATTTAAAGAAATTGCATCTATCAAAAGAAATTCATCTTCCAAACTAACCCATTTCCAGGGCTAATAGGACTTGTGTGGGTGGCAAAATGTTTTTTCTTTGATTATCTGAGAACATATATTACTATGTTTTCCTTTCATCTAGCAGTTGAGAATTTTATGGAAAAATTTAATTTTTACAATAATAGTTATCTTTTCTAAAACTTTATGCCTGACAATTTATGTACATTATCTCAAACACTGAATTTAATGCTTGGTAACTCTATTTTGAAATGAAATAAGCAATCCAAATCATTAATAATAAAATAACACACACTAGGGTGCTCAGTTTGAGAACAAAAA